CCCAGCCCCCACAGCCATTCCCTCATTGCCCAAACCCTAGCATCATTGCTGACCTGTTCTCGTGCACAGCAAGAGGAGTTCGACAAAATGAAGCAATGGCTCTAGGAGATTGAGGAATCTGCCACTGCGCTCTGGGAGATGCAGACCAAGGTTGCCAAGGTTTGTAATCCTTCCCATATGCGCTACTTTTCCATTCCAATAGGTAAGATCCACATCTGAAAGTACGGTTCGTTGGGCAAAAAAAATAGCTTTGTAATAGAAATGCTTATATGTGGTGATTTGTTTCGTTGATGTGTGGACATGGCAGTACTGCACATTTATGGTACCATTGTTGGCAGATTGAATCAGTTTTATCAGCTAAACAATTCTACGGTTCTCATGAATAAAAACTATTTGTTGTTGCTAGATCTCCAAAATAAAGCTTTTGGTCCATAATTTTTAGTTGCATGGATATGATAAAAAATGGAAACAGGAGGAGACTCGAGGGTGCTGTTGCTCTCTACCTGCTGCCACACTGCTGTTGCTGCTCTCTGCTTGCCAACACAACCAAGGTGAGTTTGGGAAATGCGGAATGGTGTTTCCGGGTTTTCATTTCATCATCTTTAAAGTATATTTTCTCATCTAAAATTATCACTTTTAGTTGCTGCTTTAATTTATTGTTTCATCAGAACTTATGTAAAAATGAAATGTTGTTTCGATGGTCAGCATGAAACTTGAAGTTGACTGTGCCAAGGGACAACGAAATCTGTTGGCTAGTGGGGTACAGAGTGGCTGACATCATCTTAATCTTTCAAAAAACTGTAGATCATTTTTCTCAAGAAGAGTTTTAGATGTTAAAAATATTTGGTTGTATTATATTAGTTGAGTTTTAGATGTTCAAAAACATTGGTTCTATTATATTTGGTTTCATCCATGAATTCTTTAGTGGAATAAAAAATTTGCAATAAGTCAGGTATGAAATTTTTGTTTCTCATGACTGTGGCTTTGTGAATTGCATAGATTGATAAATGGAAGTCAAAGTCTGATGCAGCAGTGGTGACAATGAGGCCACCAGCAGAAAGTCACATCTGAGACCTCATGCCTGGCCCAAGAGATCCATGATGTCAATGACATATTGCTTGCCTTGCCTGTAAATGCAAAAGTTCCTTTCCCCCACTCATACAAGTGTTGAAAATTGAAGCAGCCGATGCAAGAGGCAAGTCACAGCCCGGTGCAGCACGGCGAGCGTCTTGGATGTGTGCACAGGTGGCAGAGATATCGGCGGAGTCCGAGACGAGCGCCAAGAGCCTGGAGAGGAGGGGCTGCGTCATTGCCAACCTCAAGTGCACCGATGCCCAGTTGTTGCTTCAGTTCTCTACTCCTGTTGCTTGGTGTGATAGGAATGCTGCAGTTCAGTCTTCAGTGCTAAACTTCTAATGGGCTTTGACTTGTTTATGATGCTTGGCACGTAGAGCATACGGGACTGATGGGGAAGACGATCCTGGAGTTGCAGCCCAACAAAGGAGGTGTTCTCCCATCTCACAAGGTGAGGTTGCTGTCTTTCGCCCTCTCTTTTGGTTGTCTGCTGCCGTGGCATTAGGGTTAGTAATTCAGACTTCTATGCATGTGATTTTGCATTGCTTTTTGGATAGTTCATTGTTACTTGTAGGAGTACATGACATTTTTGGCATACAGATCATGTGCTTACTATTTGGATAGATGTGTGAATATCTACTTGATGAAATTGATGGGAAATTATCAGAGCACCAAGGGAGCTTGAATTGCATCTTAGAATTACTTGAGTGATGTGAAGGTCCTTTAAATTCATTAGGTGTGCTTATTTATTTCATAACTATCTATATTGATTTATTAGAGTTCAGATCAGATGCCATGACTCTTGCCAACAGAAGAATAATTATAATTAGCTATTGTGAGAGTTTCGAGAAAGTTTAGATTTTTTTTCTTGATCATCGTGTTCTTTAGCTTCCACTACTTTAGCTCAAGAAAAAATGATCCACCTTCTAACCACTTCTGGATGAATGCATGGTCTAGTTTAGTCTGTTTGGATGTCATCAACCAGACATGGAGACAAATGCTTGGTAAGATTGATCTTTGCATTTCATTATTTGTATGTACAGGAAATGGATTCTCTCCATGCCTTATATGTACAATTAGAGATTCCTGTTTTATACCATGTTAAAGCAGGCTTAGGTTTGAACCTATGTGATACTTTGCAGATCTTGTCAATGTGTTTGAGGTCTTCTTTCCAAAACTTCTGTTATATCCTAATCCTTTCTGATCCATTAAATGCAGATGCGGCTTCGTTGATGATGTGTAATCGGCCTTCTTTGTGTGCATGAAACTTAAAAAAAACATTGGTTCCAGTTTGCAATCTAGGTTAAAGCGTATGGCATGGTTACATGTACATTAGCAAATCATATGCTTTGATCCTTGTAATTTTATTGCTCGATCATATACTTTGATCCCTGTAATTTTGTTGCTGAACCATGTGCTTCAATCCCTGTAACTTTCACCCTGTTCGTTTGATCGTATTAGCCATGCTTATCAGCTATGATACAATGTGTTTTTTCTCTCACAACAAAACAGCATCAGCCGGCTTATAAGCCACAGAAATGATGAAGCGAACATGATGTTGTTAAACCATTTTTGATCAGCACGTCACTCTGAAAAAGAAGGAAGCCAACATGCGATTCATGTGTGGGGACAGTGAAACAGGGATTGGGTAGCATGCGAGATATAGGTTAATTAATTATTTATTGGATGGGATGGGCTAGAAAAATAAATTCATTTGATTTGAGGTCGGGTGGAAATGAGGTGGGTCTTATCTTGTTCGTTTTATTTTTTACAAATTGTACGGTGTTTTCTATTTTACGATAACGTTAGCACGAGAGTGCTCCTAGTATTTAAAAATAGATCAGACGATGTTGGAGTGAAGGTCAGACACAGAGGGCAGCAGTGGCGTATATCTAGGAGTATTATTATAATATTATTGACACAAAATGGCGATTTTATAGTGTTGTACTTTGTACGATTGAAAGGGCCACCGTCAAGGTTAATGATGATGTACGTTTGCATGGCTTGTTGGTGCAGATCTATAAATGACGAGTTTGCTGAGTTTGACGGGAGAGCGAGACAACCAACTTCTCAGAACTGCACTAGCTACTCCTAGCGGGCATGCAGTGGTGGCTTTGATGACCAAGTTTCATGTAATGATATAACTATGTCATGCACGCTCCTACTTAGGTCCCGTTTGGTACAACCATAAGGACATGTTTGGTTCCTACATAGCCTCATAAAATTCTTTTCACACCAAATGTTTGAACATATGTATGGAGTATTAAATATACATTAATTACAAAACTAATTACATAATTTGTGACTAATTTGTGAGACGGATCTTTTAAGCCTAATTAATCCATGATTTGACAACGTTGTACTACAGTAAATATGTGCTAATGACAGATTAATTAGGTTTAAAAATATGTCTGCGCAAATTAGCCTGATTAATTAAGGTTTTAAAAATCATCTCACAAATTAAACATTTCCATCTATGTAATTAACAACTAAAGAACCAAATCTAATATAGCAATGCTCCTTAGACTTGTTTTAGTATTTAAACATTCGCCACCGGGCCGATAGGTGATGTGATGATAATTTTAGGAGCATGTGAGAAGGAACCAAACACGGCCCGTGTGGGAGGTCATAGTCTAAACAAGTTTTTTCTAATGTTTTATTGTAAACTGGTGGCAACGAGGAAAAGTATGGCTAGAAAAGACTATAAAATAAAGCATGCCATTTATGTTTGTAGTTTTAGCTTATTTTCACTTGATTTTATATGACGATAACTCGTAGATGTCACTCAACAAACACCAGCAATGTACAAAAAAAAAAAAATTTAGAAAAAACAAACAAAAAGTAAGATATAACGAGAGTATGCTACCAAGAAAAGTCCTTGTCATTTAGTTTAGTTAGTCAACATCAAATAAATTATAATAGATAATAACAAAAGCATATGTTAGCCAATAAACACAAAAAAGAGTTTACGGCGTCTAAATAATTTTAATCTAGGTATCATAAGATGGAGCATGATTTATTTTAGAGAAAAATATGAAACCGGTTTGATAATTTTATGAGCTAAAACAAAATTTCTATGATTTTTAAAAGATTTAACTAGATTTTAGTATTTTAATTAATTGTGTAAATTTTTTAGACAAGAATAGTGTGACGACTGACGACGACTGTGCTGTGTGCAACTCGGTGTTTAGTTCAGTCCAAAATTCAAACTTTGGCACTATGTAAAAAGAAGATTTTCCATCATATCAAATTTACGATACATGCATGGAGCACTAAATGTTGATGAAATCAAAAACTAATTGCACAGTTTGGTTGTATTTTACGAGACGAACGTTTGAGTCTAATTAGTCAACGATTGAGCCCTTGTTTAGTTCAGGAAGTTAGAATTTGGGGCTATCTGTAGCACTTTCGTTTTTATTTAATAATTATTGTTCAAACATGGACTAATTAGGCTCAAAACGTTCATCTCGCAATTTCTCACCAAACTGTGTAATTAGTTTTTTTCGTCTAAATTTAATACTCCATGCACGGACCACAAACATTTGATGTGATAGATACTATAGCATTTTTTAAAATTTTAGGATGAAACTAAACACGCGTTGAACAATTATTATCAAAATACAAACGAAACGCTACTAAATTTGGCGGTACCGATTCAGGCAACTAAACGAGACCTCAGAGTAGCTGGCGGTTGCAATAAAGGAAGCGAACGAAGTAGGCGTGGGAGTAGGCCGCAGTGAGTGCACTGGTACTACAGTACGCACCTTTATTTCCATAGCTCCAGCTACTTCGATCCGTCTACATGTCAATCTCCAAACTGAAGAGAGAGAAGAGAAGAGCAGGGTAGATCGAGCGAGCCAGGTGGATCGGTCAGGACAGGACATCCAGTTGGAGTACTTGGAGAGGTAGCAGGAGGAGGAAGGACGATGCTTGGAGGCCGTCCCCTCTGCGTGCTCTTCGGCTCCTCCATCGTGCAGTACAGCTTCAGCAACGGCGGATGGGGCGCCGCGCTTGCCGACATCTACGCCCGCAAGGTACGCTACGCCTACTGCTGCATCAAATATGTACTAGTACGTCTTTGCTGTTCTCATCTCCTCCAGGCTCCAGCTCCACCTCCTCGCCGGCGCCGGTGGTGGCGGTGAGAGATCGAGATCAAGAAACTGAGATTTCCTCTCTCTCTCTGTCTCTCTGTTTCTGTTGGCTAGTCTGTTTCTGGTGCATCCTTTCCTGCTTCAACCGGAAAGCAAAATATCTGGGCTAGGAAAATCACTGCACCAAACTAGTTTACGCCTGGAAATAAAAAATGCACATTTTCCGTTATGACAGATAATTACATTTGCATCTGGTTTTTATCTGTCAATCTGATTTTATCAATCCGGAAAGAACATACTACTAGGACAACTTTATAAATTTTGTGGCCCAACTATTTTTATATAACATCCCGCTATATATATAAGGTCACTCAGCCCTACTTCTTTAAAAAGAAGTAGAAGAACGAACATACTTTTCAAAATACAAGTATAGTGCACAGTTTGGTTTGGTCACTGTCATGTGGGAAACAGGTTCATCACCCGCAGAGCAAAGAAGGCAGTGGCAACAAGCCAGGAAAGTGGCTGAAATGCTGTCAATTTGGGGCCAATTTGGGTGCACCATTAGCTGGCGCTAATATAGAAGTCTATCATGGAGTGATTGAGACTGAAAATAATCAAGCAATGAATTAATGCTTCCCCTGTCTTCCTCCTCTAAACAACATAGGGAGCCGAGGGGTAAAACCTCACTCTGACTCTACCCACGGCTACGCCAAGGCTCGCCGTCGCCAGCGCCACCACTACCCCCTTACCGCCATCATAACAGTCACTAGATTCAGCTCTTGATTAGCTGGTTTCTTCGTGGAACTTTCATTCTTGTTACTATAAAAAATCGCACATAAAACTAGTGTATAACAGGGTGTCCTGAGTTTTTATTTTGTGACCTCACTAGGACAACCGGTAAGGTAAACTCACTTATTCACATCTTATGTCAGATTAACCTTTGGGTCAACTTATTGGTGAACGAAACTACCTAGTTAGCAACGTCTTTACTTCAGTAGTGCTTATTTCTGCTTGCTATTTATTCAGGCTGATATATTACTAAGAGGATATATCGGCTGGAACACAAGGCGGGCTGTTCAAGTGATGGACAAAGTGTTTCCTAAGGTATATATGGCCCAAATCTCTAATTTTGTTTCTGTATCTCCATCTTAACAGTTATCTTTGTCTCTACAAAAAGTCATTTTGGGGCACATAAATTCCTTACAGTTTTGGCCCTGTTTTTTAATCGTTGATAACTGCTACTGCCTAAGTAAAATAATCCTCTTCTGTGCAGTTTTTCTAACAAGAGGAAGCCTGCTTCTTCCCTTCATGCCTATTTCTTCCATTAGTCTTAGCTAACAACATTATGATAAACTGCTGACTACTTGACCCTCTTCAACTTGTTTATCATACCATAATGAAACTTTTCAGTAGTTTTTAGTTACCTATCTATATGATGACACACGTGTATGTTCTCAAGGACCAATACTATGATGTAATGATCTTAATCCAATTTACAAAATAATCTATGATGATATTAAAAAATTAGCTGGCTGTCGTCCAAATTTTAACTGATTTTCTACTCTCCATTTGTCATAGGATTCAGCAGTGCAGCCTTCTTTGGTAATAGTTTACTTTGGTGGAAACGACTCCATTGCTGCTCATTCTTCTGGTCTCGGGCCTCATGTGCCGCTATATGAGTACATAGGGAACATGAGAAAGATTGCAGAACACCTAAAGGTAGAGCGTTGATTAGCAAGATGTTCCTGGAATGGTGGTGCACCTGTAGCTAGTTGTTTGACAGTTGGTTTGCCTTTGTGGTCAGAAGCCTCTCTGAGAAGACACGAGTCATTTTCCTGAGCTGCCCACCTCTGAACGAGGAGATGCTTCAAAACTCAACCAGGTGAGCAATCAATTGTATGGTGAATCCTGGCTTGTTGCAATATAACACAGGGAACTGAACATATTATGTGTGCAGCAGTACTATACTTAGTGAGATTGTCCGGACCAACGAAACCTGCCGTCTGTACTCTGACGCCTGCGTAGCTTTGTGCAAGGAGATGAACCTGAAGGTGGTTGATCTCTGGCATGCCATGCAGAAGAGGGAGGACTGGATCACTGCATGCTTCACGTGAGTTGTTTGCTGTTTGTTCTTGTTGTCGGCCTGAATAAAAAGACAGAATATTTTTTCTGTTGCAGGGATGGGCTGCATCTGTCTGAAGAGGGGAGCAACATTGTGGTGGAAGAGATCCTGAAGGTGTTGAAAGAGGCAGAGTGGGAACCATGCCTGCACTGGAAGGCGATGCCCACCGAGTTTGCTGAGGACTCCCCCTTCGATCTTGTCTCCTCCAGCGGTGACACCACCGTGAACCCGTCCGAGTGGACAATTCACAGGAAATTACCATGGGACTGACTTGTTTGTGGCCTTGATTTGATTCGATGGTTGGATGTATGCATTTGTTCTACCTGGATGGAATGGGAATGAATCATGATCCTCAAGAATAACGATGGAGGAATGGACTTAAGGGAGCCAGCCAGGACCGAGCCAATATGACACCATCATCTTTTCTATTCCAGACCTCGCTCTCTCGAAGATTGATTGATTATTATTGTGTTTTCCCCATGATTATGGGTGTGTTTGGATTGATGGCAGGGATGGCTAGGATGCATCCATGTTTTCAGGGATATGGCCATCAAAGTTGTCTGTTTGATGATAGGATGAGCCATTTTTTTTTAGGGTAAAGTTCAATTTACACCCTCCAACTTTTCACCAAAGTCTGGATTTTAACCTCGAACTTCAAAACCGGACAACTTTGGCTCTCCAACTCTTGAAAAAGTTCAACTTTCAACCTTTTAGGCGGTTTTGTGGGTGAACACTTTTGATAATTTCGAGAGCGTCGAAATTTTATATTATATTTTTGAGTATCTTAACGTTCTCAAATGAAAAACTCAAAACTACAAAGTTGTATATCTCATCGAGGTCTATAATTTACATATAAAAATTATCTTCATCCGACATCGTATTGAAGGGTTTTTTATTTTTTCAAATTTGAGTGTCATCACGCGATAAAATATGGTGCTGAAATTTTAAATTTCAAATTTTAGAAGCATCTTCAATATGATGTCGGATGAAGAAAATTTTATATGTAAATTGTAGATCTCATCGAGAGTCTACAATTTAATAGTAAAAATTATTTTCATTCGAGGACATTAATTGAGGGTTTTCTAAAATTTGAAATAAAGTCTCATCAGTGACAATATTTTTTCACGGGTGATGACACTCAAATTTCAAAAAATAGAAAACCCTTCAATACGATGTCGGATGAAGATAATTTATATATGTAAATTGTAGACCTCGATGAGATCTACAACTTTATAGTTTTGAGTTTTTTCATTTGAGGACGTTAAGATGCTCGAAAAAATAATATAAAATTTTGGCGCTCCTGAAAATATCAAAAGTTACTGTTCACCCACAAAACCGCCCAGAAGGCTGAAAGTTGAACTTTTTCGAGAGTTGGAGGGCCAAAGTTGTCCGGTTTTGAAGTTCGAGGTTGAAATTCGGACTTTGGTGTAAATTGAACTTTACCCTTTTTTTTAACTCCAAGAGTCTCTAACGCTCGGTCTATAAATCATCATTTAGAGAGTTATTTGTATAAAAATCATTTTTTTATATATTTTCACTCTCCAACAGTTTTTCCGTATCTTATATGCGCTCTAGAGAGCCATTCTTATTTTCTGTCTTTAGCTAGTGCGAAATCCGGAATATAAGTTGGCTATATTTGGATAATAATTTAAAGAAGCTATTGGGGGATACTATTTTTTACCGAAATACCATATAAACAACTATGTTGGGGGGAGACACCCCCCGCACCGCTCCTCCCCTGGCCCTCGACCAACGGCCGGCCAATCTAACCCGCCCCGCTGCGAGTATTAACCCTCGCGGCGAGGGTCTCTTGTCCGCTGTGTTCTCCTCGTGTTCAGGTGACGCGCTCGGAGGTCAACCGGGATAGGAGAGCGTGGCCAGAAGAAGGTGAGGATGATGACGATGAACGAACCCTCACTGGAGGCACACAAAGGTTGCTGCCTGCCACTGGAGGGGACCGCCCCGTCAGCAATTGGGCCCAGGAGTGGTTGGCTAAGGAAAGGAGATTACCGCCGTACCCTTGGCTTTTGTATAGCACTTACCCACCAGGGTCTAACCCTAATGTAATTCCACTGCGTCTCTGGGCATGGTCTATAAATACCCGGGACGCTCGTATATGAAGGAGGTTGAATCCTTTCCGGACGAATTAATGGGTATTTAATCCGCATTTTTCCATCGCCTCGTATTTCACTACCCTCGCCTATTCCCATGGGACAGTTGAGTCGCTCCCCTATGGGAAACCCTCGTCCTTTCCCCCCATGCTCCTCAGCGAGGGCGAAAGGCCAGGAGTGACCCCACAGTTGGCACCGTCCGTAGGGACTCCATCGTACCACAGAAATCTCACCCAATGACCGTTAGCACTAGGAGAACCACCACTAACAACAAAGATCCTCCACCCTCTCCGCAGAAGGAGGAAGAGGTGCCACCCTACCTCGGCCCACTGTGCAGGCGACGGAGGTCACAACCGATTTGGAGAGACCCCCCCTCGAGACCAAGCCAATCCCCAACCCAGCCCGCCCAGAGTTGACGAGGCCGGCGTGGTGCACCAAGATAACGGCGAAGACGCCGAAGAGAGGGGCCTCGAAGCTCTAAACCAAATACAAGAGAAAATCTAAGAGAAAAGACGCAGAGTTGAAGCACATCAAAGGCTAGGCGCGTCGGCGCGTCATTAGGCAGAAGGCAGACTGAGCCAGGGAGGAGCTTAGGAGAATGGACGAGTACTTGGCAGCCCTCTAAGAGAATCCAGACCATGAACCTGAGCTGGACAACAATCCACCCCCGCTCCACCCAAATCCACCCCCGCCCCATTCAAATCCACCCCCGCTCCATCCAAATTCACCCCCCGCTTTCACCAGATCTACCCAGAATACATCCCTCCATCCATACAACCACCCTAGAGAAACCAACCCCCGCCAATGACATTCGACCCAAAATCTCCACTAACCCGGATATTACAAACCAAAAGTTGGCCACTTGAATACAAGCCACAAAACTTGCAAAGGTATGACGGAAGCGTGGACCCCCGCCAATTCATAATGAGTTATGAGACTACAGTGGCAGCAGTAGTAGGAGACAAGTATGCCATGGCAAAGTCCTTCGTGATCATAGCACGGGACATCGCTCAAAGCTGGTACAGCAACCTCCCGCCAGGCTCGATAGACTCCTGGGGATGCCTTCGTGAAAAACTATGCAACAACTTCAAGGGTGTCAGCCCGCCCAGCCAACAACCCAATGGAACTGTTCACTTGCACTCAATCCGAAAGAGAGCCCATTCGTAACTTGTGGCGAAGGTTTGTTCAGCTCAAAGCCAGAACACTAGACATAATCGACGATGCAGTAATCCTTGTCAACGGAGTAAGACCAGGACCATGCTCTTCGAGGCTCGTAAGAAAGCCACCAAAACCATTGTAGAGTTGCACGAAGTCATGGAAAAGTATAGCAGAGCAGACACCGTTTTTTCATACAAAAACCGAAGCACAGAGATCCCAGGCGTGCTCGCCTCCAAGACCTCAACAGCGCAACCAGTACCCTCGCAATGACCCAATCAACGTGAACGCCATAGAGGTCACACCTCTGCAATGCCAAAGACAACAACCAAACAAAGACCTCAGCAAACCCCCGCAAATAGCCAAAATGATAACAGAGATAATACCCAAAATAGACCCAATCCAAGAGACCCAGTGAAGCTTTACTGCCATTTCTGCGGTCCAGGAAAGGGGCACATGACAAAACAGTGTGCCTATTTTGCGAAGGGGAAAGAATACCAAGAGGCACAGCAAGCCGCCGCCTTAGGACCACCAAAACCTGTCAACTACACAAGGTGTCGGGGACCTAATACCGGGGTACCCCAAAGAGGAGGAATCAATGAACCATCGAACGGTAAAAACTCCCGAAAGCGCGGTTACATCTCTTGCCCGACCAAACGGAAGTCTTGTTCCGCCTCGCTCGAGCGCCCATGTGCCCTTGGGACCCGCTCTACCTCGCCCGACGGCTGAAGGGCGACTCCGCCTCGCCCGACGGCTGGAGGGCGACTCCGCCTCGCCCAACGGCTGAAGGGCGACTCCGCCTCGCCCGACGGCTGGAGGGCGACTCCGCCTCGCCCGACGGCTGGACTCGGCTTCACCCAACCCCTAGGGGCTGCGCTCCGCCTCGCTCAACCCCCGAGGGCTGGGCTCGGCTCCATTCGACGGCCGGGGGACGACTCTGCTTCACCCGACGGCTGGAGGGCGACTCCGCCTCGCCCGACGGCTAGGCTCGGCTTCACCCGACCCCTAGGGGATGCGCACCGCCTCGCTCAACCCCCGAGGGCTGGGCTCGGCCCCGTTCGACGGCCGGGGGACGACTCCGCTTCGCCCGACGGGTAAAAACTAGGTTTTTACCTCATCCAAATGGCCAATGACGAATCTCGCCTCGCCCGATATCCAGAGGCTGGCCCAGTCTCACCTGACGAACCGCGCCCTGTACCCTCATGATGACGATTGCAGGGTAAGACAAGACGTTCGGGTCAACCGCGGCGTTAGACGCCATGCCCGCGCACCCGCAGGAAGTACCATCGAGGATGTGACCGGTGGCGCTTGGACCCCTCCGGGCGTGGCGAGCACGAAGCGGTGTTGTTGGCGCGCTGCTCTCCATCCCTCTGATGTTGTAGGTGCCGCCCTCGGCCTCCAGACGAAGAACCCGAACAGAGACATCGACAACCACTACGTTCCAAGGGCAAACCAGCGATCCGCGCCTCCCGGCCCCCACGGGGTCGGGCTCGGCAAATCTTGTCCGACACGCCGCGCGCCGCAGGGCGGGATGGGACGATACCCACTTGCTAAGCGATGGCGTGGCGTGGCCTGACGACGGTCCCTGTCGCCTCAATCGACACGATGCGCCATGATGGGCGGATCGAGGCGTGGGGAAGAAGGAAGGACCGGGTCCTCGAAGGACCTTCTATGCTCTTAGTGTTTTCTTCTTCCCCGTCTGTAAAAAACCCCGCTTCCCTTGATCTATAAAAAGGAGGCGGGGCTCCCCCTAAGGGACCGATTACGAGCAGGTTAGCGCACACACACGTACCACACGGCCAAGCGCCAACAGAGCTCTTGGCGTCCTTCCAATCACTCCATCAGGGACTTGGGGTCTCTCCCTCTCCCAACCATTTGTACCCCCTACTACGAACCTCATTCGGTGCTAATAACACGAGCAGCAACAGACTGGACGTAGGGACTTCAGCCCGAACCAGTATAACCCTTGTGTCCTTTAGCGCACCAGCCGGGCCTAACGCGCAT